ACCTGTCCCAACTAGCAAACCTAAGTCCAACCCACATGTAATCAGGGACTTGCCGCGGCGCTACCCGTGCTCCAACTGCACTGCAAAGGCAACATTCCTCGGCACACACTGTGCAACTCCTGAAACTGTGACCCCCCGCGGTCACGGCCCCGCACGGTGCGATAACGCATTTCCCCAAGGGATACTCAGTGTATTCCTCCACATTCTGCCTCACTGCATATGTGTGTCAACCTAAGTTACGAAGTCGTGTTACTCATATGACGTCGCGTCTGAACCACTTCATCTTTCCCACTCGCTCCACATCAGTGGCGCCTTCCCACGTGATGACCGAATCTCACCGTCTCCATGAAGGAGCACTTTGCCAAGTGCCACACTCCTCATGGTCTTCCTCTATCTTTAGCTTCAGAGCGGACTTTGGCAGCTTGACGTCAATCTGACGTCCCATCACTCGCCTATTAAAAAAATGGGGATCCGTATCGAGGAAAAGAAACCAAAGTTGAATTTGTCAATAGGAAATTTGTCTTGAGCCTTAACCATCCGCAAAAGTGCTGATGATGACATCCCATAAGTGGGAGATACGGGCCTCGGGTTAGTCCGGACGGCAGGTACACTCGTCGAACACGATGATGAACTTATCATGTTTGAGACGCTGGAGATCAATGGCCAGACTCTTCGCCGGTTCCAAGCAAAAGTGCTGGTACAGCTCTTTTACGCCATTCATCAATCCCACGAAGCTCTCTCTCTGCGATGATCCTCCGTCGTCGAGCCACCAAATGACCTGGCAAGGTTGTAAGGGACCGATAAGTACGGATTCAAAACACGCCTCACGCAACGTAGATGCGCGTGCCCAGGCACCCATTTGAATCTCGACATCCTCATCTGGATTACGACCAAGGCCTTCGCATGCCTCCTTGAAAAGTGCCCCAAGAAGGGCAGCAGCCAGATCTCTTCACCCTAACAGGGTCGTTCAATTTGTCATCCTGACTTCCATACTTAACATACCAAACACATCGTTCGGTCGATTCTACCCATCGACTATCTCGTGGAGGCCAGCCGGCCTTTGGACGGTTCGAATTGCGGAAGCAGATACTTATGCCAGGCACCTAGAGCACAAATCAGTACGGAGCACAACTGGAGTGGTCTGCTGAATCCTGATTGCGACAAACCTTTTTCAGCGCTTCTGCTACGAGGCGTGATTTCCCCCGTTGCGCTCGATTGCAGAATGGGAATACTGTGTCCATAATGCGCCGTCGACATCGTACATCTCGCCGTAAGCATTGAGCGCTTGTAGGAAAATTTGAGGCATATCTCCATGATAATTCCTACGAAATGAAGACTCGAGCAGGGCCCGCCATTCCTATTTAAAGATTTTCATTACATAATGTGCGAATTACAGACTGATTGGTTGAAGAGGGTGCCGAGCTGGTCTTTGACATCTTTGATTTCAGTGTATGTTTCATCTGTGTGTCCTTGAGCATTGATGCACCATCTATAGCCTCTTCAGTGGGCATATAGCCTGCTCCTCAGTGTTCATGCGCTTTCGGATGTTGCGCACGCTGAAAGCTAAGTTGCCACAGCAATCCTCCCTCCAATACAAAGTCAGATGTAGTGCCCAAATCCATGAGCAGTACCACCGTCAATGGAGGCTTCTTGCCTTCAATATGAGGTCCAGCAAGCTCCAAAGGAATGTCAGAAGCAGCTGGATCGACACACATCTTCGACTGCAAGGCTACGTAACTGAACTGGTCCTCTTGAAATGGGAGGTCAAGCCTTCCACTGTAGGTAACAATGAATCCGTCGATACAGGGTTGTTGGAACCTACATTAAAATGCGGCTTCACAGCACCACGCCTTGCAGAGGAGATCGAAGGACAAATCGTCGACATCTTCCGTCAGCTGGAAAATGTGTGTAAAGTTGATATGCGTGGTGTCCATCTTTTCCAAGAACCGCTCCTTCTGAGGATCGTTGGGGGATAACCCAATATCCTGGCCAAGTAGGATAGTCAAAAACATCTTAGCTGACTAAGGGACCTCTTGCTTTTGAGTGAATGTAGTTGCCCGATCCCGTGCAAGAGTCAACAGAACGCGGCTGAACAATTCGCCTTGATATCCTCGCTCAAGGACGGATTTGTTGACTATTAGGCTGTTGACAAAAGTCTTGAGGGCAACATTGTACATATATCTCCCGTGATGCAATTAACTTCTTCATAGCCGCGATCGCTAGTAAGGGGTGACCGTTTTAATAAAGGAACGGTCAATAACTCCCATCAGGATTTGCATATGGCTGCGGACACCTCCTGCGGCGAGAATGGATCCACTCATCGCAAGCTCGACGGGAAAGCGTTGGGAAGATGCGGCAAGGACATGATTAACACTTATGGGATCAAGATAGGGTGGGTCTGAGCGCTTGTACAGCGTTTTTCTGGATGCGTACAGGAAATTGGGCGCATCATAGGTTGACCAATACTACCATCAGACGCATTGCAATAAATAAAGAACGACAGGGTAGGAAAAGTGAGTCATTCCGGGCGGCCATAATCCCTCAAACAGTTGTACGACAATGCGTTCCTGGGAGTCACTGCAGGTGATTCAACCATCATGTCAAAACCTAGATATGGCCAAGGCGGGAGCATTTTGAAAGAACCGTGCCGGGCGGATGATACCTCATTGCGTGAATGAAAGAATTCGGCAATCGTGGAGCTCGTATCAAGGAAAAGTCAATCCCTTTGATACAAAACGGGTCTTGAGCTTTGATCATTCGTTGGAGTGCTAACAATGATATCCCATGAACTGGAGATGGAAACTTCGGGTCAGTCCCGGCGACACGTTTGACGATCGATCAAACCTGGTGGTTTGATGTTTGTGCATTTGTCGAAAGCGATGATGAACTTATCATGGTTGAGGCGCTGAAGGCCAATCAATAGCCAGACTCTCCACCGCTTTCAGGCAAAAGTGCTCGTACAGGTCATTACGCCAGTTATTGATTATGCCCACATCATTCTCCATGCTGATCTGTTGTCGTCGATCCACTAGATGTTTCGGCATTGATGCAAGGGAGTGGTTGGGCCGCCTCGAGAACTGATGTAAAAGACACCCCACGCGACGTAGATCCGCGCGACCAGTTACTCATTTTGCGTCTCAGGATCGTCTTTCGGATTGTAACCAAGGCACTTGTGTATCTCTTTGAAAAATGCCCCAAGGAGGGCGGCGGCCATCTCTTCCCCCTAAAGGGGTCGATCAGTGTGTTGTCTTAGCTTCGGCAGTTAACATACAAAATAATCGATCGATTCCACAAATCGACACATGGCCTCATCTTGTGGGGGCCAGCCGGCCTGAGCTGCCAGTGACCAACTCGCGCATGAATCAGTGCAGAGCTTGACTAGAGTGGTCGGTTGATTGCGATATACCCTTTTTAGCACCTCTGCTGCAAGGTGTGATTTCCCCGTTCCGCTCGACTGCAATATGGGGATGCTGCGTCCGTAATGTAAATCGCTATCGTACATCTCGCCGTAAGCATTGAGTGCTTGTAGAAAGGCAGTAACACTATCACTGCGAAAATTCCTACGGAAGGAAGCTTCGAGCCGGGCCTGGCGTTCCTCCCTAATTCTTTTCTGCCGTAGCAGGTGGTTTATGCAAGTCAGACCGACGGATTTCTAACCAAGCGATGAGGCGGAGAAACTGAGACCAAGAGGGACTACCAACCCAAACACCGAACTTCTTTGAATGAGCGGGTTTCCAATGATCTCCGTAGCGCATCCTTGAGGTGTGCGTTGTCGGAGATGAGAGCCCTTGCATGCTTCTTGGCTCGTGATGGGTCTCCTAAGGTTCTTGTCGTTGTTAGTAATGCTTAAACGAAGCATGGGCAAGGAAGGCTTGTTCCCCAGATCCCCTAGATCCTGCTGAATGGTATTCTCTACTGAATCATCGAGTAGATCGTCACTCAGCGGATGATGATGATCTGTCGACTGGCACTTGCTCGGCTGTTTCCACCACTAAACCTAACCTTATCTGTTGGCGACATCGTTGATTTCGAAGGTTTGGTAGGTGGACTGTAATATCCGCAACATCAATGAGCTGAGATGGATATACCTCACTCAGTTGGCGCATGTACACATGCACAACTGCCAAGCAACACCCTCACCCTGAGTGGACTTTGGCCTCTCGACATTGTCCAACGTTGCGTCTGAACCAGTTAAGTATGTCCTAGGCGCTGAGTGACTAATCAGGTGTATCATTGCACAACAAGAACTCCGAGCTAACGATACATATTTCACGGTTACAATTGCCGAACGTGAAATACAGCAATCATTGACCGTCCCCACCAAATGCTACCACGCCAACCTTAGCCTGTCACTCCTCAAAAGTTAGAGTCCCGACGTTATACGCAGCGTCCCTCCTGATACCCTTCGGCACTCAATAGCGCTATGGTGGGTCAACATTGACCGTCCCCAGCGAGGCCCCACCCCCCCAACCAAACCCCCTGACATCCTAAATAGTTCCTTATATGTTTACCCAGAATCGGATGCACCACATGCCTTTCAGTATGGCACTGCTGCCACTGCATGGTCACTGTCATCAATACTCCGAGATTCTGCAGCAAACATATCTACATATACTGAAAGCTGGGAAGAATTACGATCGAAGCGCTCCGATTGGTCGCCTCGACTTTCTCGCTCTCTCATTGGCTCCCCTCGCTTTTTCCCACCCTTTTGGCGCTCCTCATTCGCTGGCCTTAGCGCGGACCTTGACAGCTTGACGTCGTTCTGACGTCCGCAGGGAAGCAAATCGTTGCAAACCTGACTGGGCGTTTCCCAATGCGGGCCATCCGTACTCTCCATGGTGAGCTTGTGCACAATGTTCGCGATAGGCAACTCCCGGAGGCCGTGGGAACCGGTTGTTGGTCGTGCCAGTACAGTATACTTATGTCTTGCGTGAGCATGTCCAATGCACCTGGCGCAACATGGTCATGAACGCATAGCCCAGACAGCCCTTTGGGAACTGCCGATATTTCTGCGAGCCTCACGCATTCTGTAGTGCCCGAGATGGGGAGATATATAGCACCACCTTCCTATTTACCGGTTTTCCGACGATGTGCCAACTGAATGGTCTAGTATTGAGATTGCCAGGGGCCTGCTGTGTTGGAACCAACGAACGTACTTCCGACTACGTAGTCATGGAGCTCCAGTCTGATGTGCATTCAGCTCACAAGCGCCTTCGCGATGAGCTTGCCCTAGCTGAAATCCCAAATCTTGAAGGTCAGTTTACTTTAGAGGATACACAACGAATGGGCTGGGGTAGTTTTGGTGATATATACGTGGGGAATTACCGTGAAATTGTGAGTGTGGCTTCGTCTCTATTATTTAATCGGACCGGCTGATGTTAGGTGGCGTTGAAAGAGAGTCTGCATTAAAGTATTGAAGGAAATCTCCGTTTTCGATGATCGTAGATGGGATCAGTTCCTCAGGGTGCGTTTACATCCACAGTCATGATCCTTAGCAAGAAACCCACTTTCAAATAAAAGAGGCTCAAGCGCGAGATTCGGGTGTGGCGGGGCCTTATCCACCCCAATGTAGTCGCACTGTTTGGGTGGACCTCAAAAGTAATACGGGACAACATCAGTGTGAGCTTGATCTCGACCTGGTGCGATGGAGGGGATGTCAAAAGTTATCTCCGTCGACATCCCACGGCAGATCGCCAAATCCTCGTGAGCTATATCCCATCGGCCTCCGATGATTGCCAACATTCTCCAGATCAAAGACACCTGCCAAGGTCTTTCATACCTTCATTCCAAGCGGATAATCCATGGTGACATAAAGCCGGTGAGTCCTTGGTTACATTCATATCACCATGCCAAAGTCCTCAGGTGCATCATGATTCGATTTAAAACATAGGAAAACATCGTGGTGATGGAAGCAACCGGGGTAGCAAGATTGTGTGATTTCGGCCTGTCGTCCCTCCTCGATGATCTACCCACATATGCGCCATCTTCGAGCGTGGCCGGGACCCTGAGATTCATATCGCCTGAACTATTTGCTGGGGGGAAACGAAACGAAGCAAGTGACATTTGGGCGTTTGGATGCGCGGCCGGAGAGGTGAGGCATCGCATGCAGGATAGGGGTTTGTCTCGCTGATGCATTGCCAAGATATTGCGTAATGAGCGCCCTTACTATCACATCAGTTGGGATTGGCAGCTTCTGGACGTTGTAAAATCCACACCCCCGTATGTTTGGCTGAACCCAACCAGGTTCGAGAAATGCATTGCGTCTTGCTGTGAACATCGCTTAGACCGGAGACCGAGCAGTTCTGAGCTCTGTACCCGCTTCGAGTGAGCGCTCTACTGCACAAAAAAAACGCACGGACTCACTGTTGTAGGATGGCATCAATGTTCTCGAACCCCGTCCATACGTTAGAACAGGTTTCTGATGTGCTTCAACTTGGGTCCCTCCCAATACTTTGGAGATATACGCTCAGAGGAGACACCCCGGAGCTTACTACTGAATTCAATGAGATCATATCACCGGGCAGCCGAACCGCGTGCCGCGAGTGGTGCAACGTTGTTTGTCAATCTCCCCCGACGGATCCAGGAATCTTAGCGGCACTCACTCAATTCACACCTGCGCTGCTTCATTGGGTCGCTGCCATGGGGATCATGGGAGCACTTAACTGCGCTCTTGAAGGACTGCGTGATCTACGCGTGTGGGCGGTGCGTATGGCTCGTTCGCTGCAATTCTATTTGTGCACACTGACGCTCAAGACTAGGAGGACTACTCGTTCAAGAAGCTTTTTTATGACCTCTATCAGCTGATAATGCAGTCCCGCAACGCGATTAATGAATGCCCCCTCTCCCTCCTAGGTGGCAGTCATTCCTTTGTTCCTGACAAGAGTATTTTGAGGTCAACACTCCCCAGGACATTCGTGAAAGCAAGAATTCGATCAGCTTCACGATCGACAGACGTTGTCTGGTATGCACGATGTAAGATACCGGAAGCGCGCTGCCTTCCCCGCCTCATGGCAGTCTCCGCCAATGGTCGTTATGTAGTCTTCGTTGAGCAGGGTGGAAAACTATCAGTTATTAACTTGACGACCCAGGAAATCTCTGCTACATTGGAGCGAGACATTCAGCCTGATTATGTCGCCATTTCTCCTGATGGCCATCTTGTTGCGTTTAACTCGTATGGCAACATTCTTCGCGTATGGAGTTGGCACCACACCAATTTATTCTGTAAAGAGCTCGCGGACCAGGGCGAAGGCTTCTGGCCAATTAGTTGTGGTTTTAGCCCTAATGGAAAGTATCTTGCTGGCCAAATTGGGGACGCAGTCCGTGTATGGGATACGGCGGACTGGGAAACACTCGCGCTTGTTCCAGGGAAAGGCCTTCGATTCCGGAGAAATTCCTCCCCGTTTACCCCGGATAGTCGTTACCTCGCTTTGTATCAATTTTTTCCAGATACCCGAAGGAGTCAACTGGACGTTTTTGACATCACCACTCAACCAATGACTTCTCTTTTCGCAGCGGAGTGCACCAACATGGACGTCAATTTCTCACCCGATGGTCAATATTTGGTTTTGCAGAACAGGGACGAGATCCAGTTGTGGACAATTTCAACACGGTGCAAGACTTACACATTCGAGGGGTCCAGCTTGACAACGTCGCTCGATGGCCGTTACACAGTTTCTCATTTAGATGAGAACTCTATAACCATCTGGGACATCATGACCCAGACGACTACCCATTTCCATCACACAGGCATGAAGCCAGAGTACTTTGAATTTTCACCTGATGGTCGTTATCTCGCTGCCAGTGGGACAGATGATACCGTCCACATCTGGGACGTTCAGGACCCGGATCAAGGTGTCCACCTTAAATTGTCCTTTTGGACATTGGGGATTCTCGATGGACGTTTCTCGTTTTCACCTGACGGCGGTTACCTGGTTGTTTTACATTCCTCGTCGCCGTTAATAGTAGAAGTGCCGATTTGGACCGACCCAGCCGATTGGGAAGGGCACTGTGAAGTGGTACAATGTGTGCAATTTTCGCCTGATGGAAAGTGGCTGGTTTCAACCTGTTTTGACGAAGTTCATGTTTGGGACACCTCACTCTGGACGAGCATCTACCGCCTTGATGCGTCTGAGGAGTTCCCCACTGTTGACTTCTCAAATGACGGCAGGCTCATCCGCATTGAATATACGTGTAGAAGCGCTGAAATACGCGATGTGCTCTCAGGAGAGAGATTGCAAGACCCCCTGCCATGGATTTCAACTAATGTCACCATTTACTCGCCACGGATCCCGGTTTTCTTAAGCCAAGATAGGCGGAGTCTGTGTGCCGCGAAAGGAGAAAGAACCATTCACCTTTGTTGGCTACCCGATTGGTTCGAAACCAGCACCGATATCGCGCAGTATGGAGAATTGGTGTGTCTAGGAGGTGAAAAGGGGGAAGTTCTATTCTTGGACATCTCTGGCTTTGAAATGCCCGACATTTGATCTAGTCCCAATTGTTATATGGTAACTGCGACCTGCTTACGAATAGGAAGGTGACCAAAGTCTCTGAAAGTTATTCCCGATATTTGCAAGTCCGCAAGCAGGCGACAGGTCCGCTTCCCCACTCCATTTCCACCTTGGACAACCTATGAGCCGAGCCTCATTAGGTGACGACGTTGGCCCCTACAAGCGTGCAAAACTTTAGCATGTCGCTACGCATAGGCTACCTTACTCACAGTTCGGCGGAGTATTCATCGGTGGTACCAGGCATTCCCTAATGCAGGAATGATGACTTTCCCGGTAACGATGCTAGGTTCAAAATGTGATTTGTCGATCGTTGAGTCCCTCCCCAATCCTACGTGTAGACGGTTAACGGGTCTGATGCAGCTTCGTCCGCGCCCGGCCCTTTCTCCTGTCCATGGTAGTGCTACGATATTGAATGGAAATGAGATTGCGCAATTGGAGTAGCATTGCGGTGAAGGTGGAAAGGTTTGCGAGAGTATGTACAAATGTCATTAAGATGAACGCCGGAATGATGAGAGTGTGAAAATGGAGTATGAGTTAGAGGTGGACATTGCGGTAACTGCAAAAGGGTAGACCTTTGTGGATCTGGATCCTGGCTGATTAGGCTGCTCATGTAGTCAGGATTAAATTCAGGATAGTGGGTCGAGCAATACCTACTTTAAATAACGAGTGCTCAAGCTGGCTCTGTTGAACCATAGGTGCCTCTTTGATGCCGACAGGCCCTCTTGGCTTCTAGGTCGAAGATTGCATTGATCTTCTGGGCCTCAGGGATGCAAAAATTAGACTGAGATGCGATGAGCATCATGCAACGACGCGACCGAACGAGGTCCAATGTCATCAGACTCCTCACTAGCTTGTACCCACATCATATTTACCGCAGCATGCTGCCAAGCACTCATCGTCAGGAAGCTCATCACCGCCACCGGTCCGCCACGCGCTTTCCGGTCTCGATGTCAACGTTTGTACACAAGATCCTTGCTCACACGTCGTCTTAGCGCCTTGGCTGTGTTTGCTTTGATGGTCGTTCGCGTCCTTTGTCTCCCGGGTTACTCCCAGAATAAGAATGTGTTTCACAAGAAGGTATGGTTCAACAACGAGCAGGCCTCAACACCTACATCAGTTTCATGTCTCCACCGTTGCCCCTACTAGTTCGCTGCCATAGAGAAGTACTGCGGAAAATCTGTAGAATTTGGTGCGCCCAAGTAACAATATTTCGTCCTATCTTGTCCCCCAATTGTGACACAGTTATCATCGACCCTCCCATCGAACTCAAACCAAGCGATGTAGCAGGGGCAGCGCCTGCTTTCGACTCAATAGCGAATTTTGATGAACCGGAACTCACCCCTAGAGCATGGTGGCTCAGTAACGAGACGCGGACAGTTTATTTTCGAGCGGAGGAGTCCATAAAGTACATTTGGGACATCCTGGCCGCTCAATCCGTTCCTTTTGATGTGAGCAACGGCCCATTTGTCTCCCGAGGGCTTGCTTATTTGACCACATCATCCTTCCCCCTGGTGACTGTTTCCATAGGGGGTTTTGGGGTTCAGCCAAGGCGCTGCTATGGCAGCAATGACTGTGGCTCTCGTGTGTTCCTAACTGGCTCTTCAATTGCCAAAACCTTATCTAACTCCTTGTACCCACGGGTAAGCTTGAACGACCGCACCACTTCGATTACCTCTCGACCGACGGTAAACCACCTCACCCGCCTTTGTGAGTTCCCCACCATATTGTTATATTGTTGCCGATTTGTGAACCGAAACAACTGTTTTTTCGCATCAACAACTTCCACGCGCGCAAAGGCGATTCGGAGTCTACGTTTCCGGATTCGTCAGTGACGAGAACCATAACGAAGATTCCGTTTTACTGATATAATCAGTCCTAGAAACCCATAGATTCCAAAGTCACTTCTATATTCGATGACGACAAGCTGAAAACGCCCAGCGTCCAAATTCTCGGACGTAACGACGTGATTGTTGGCATAAAGAGGTCCCAGACACTCATTGAGGCATGTGAACATCCACGAGTAATGTGGCATGATGGAGGTGTGTGTGTGTGATCCTTCGAATGGTGACCAAATGAATCAACCTCACTTCCTGTGCAGGTCATTTCATCCCCGCCAAGCTAAGCTGGAGGCAATTTTTCAAGAATTATTTCTTGAGTTGGGATCCATCAAGCAAGGTTCTCCCAGAGGACGTCCCTAGCCCAGTCGTGTCCGCCACCGACACGCTCTCTCAGCTGGGAACGCCGACAGCAACCAGGCCAAACACACCACCGCCACAAGCCTCGAGTGGCCTCTTGGATTCCAGGCCAGACTAGCACAATGGGAAGCAATAGACACGGATTAAGTACAATCGAGCATTGTTTCTGTACATGATGTGCCAAGTGAAAGTGAAGGACAAAAGTGTTCCCTGTATTATTATGTCGCCCAAAATGTAGAGGAAGATAGAATTGGATGGGATGGTTTTGGCACGTTGTAGCAAGGGTGCTAGCCCTGAATGATAGCAAATCACAAACTATGAAATGCCATGAAAGCGAATGAAGCAAAAGAACACAAAGGGAGGGTACAGCAATTCGAAAACGAAGATCGAGCGTCCATGAGGCCAACGTCACTATAGGTACAACCTAATTTCGTTTATGTATGAACTATGAACTGAATGAGAGCTTATGAAGTGCGAGCAAACAATTACGGCAGAACAGCAGGGGAAGCTGAAGGACATCTGTCGGTGCGGGAACGAAGAACGTGAATAATCAATTCCTTTTTTCTTCAACGATCCGAACACCAGACTTCAAGTTTCCCTTCAGCTTTTCCCCTGGATGAATTACGAACGGTCTCGATCGCCATCTCGAAATCGCTCTCGTCAAGGAGCGAAACTTTATGTCCATCTTCGTCCAAGAACTTGAAGACCATGGAGGAAGAGGGTCTACTGAATTTGGAGGATACCTTGTCCTTGAATTGCACTAGGCCGATATCGGATGTAAGGATCATTCCACGTATGTCATCTTGATAGTGGATCTTTTTTTTTTTAAAAAAAGAAAAAAGCGGGAAAGAGACTCAGCCCTTTCCTCAAGAGTGAAATATCCGAAATCTGCTTACCTTGACACGAAGTTTTGTCTGGGCATACTCTGAATCCTCATAATCCCCACTAACATACCCTTCCTCCTCATCATCATATGCACTTCTTCGACTCCCCTTCAGGAACGCGGAGCCCTTTCTCTTGATCGTCCTTCTAAGACTACCCACACTTCCACCAAACCCGGTGGTAGGCGACTTCTTCGACGACCCGCTGCGCGTGCGTGTGGGGGACAAGACAGCCGCCGTCTTATTCACCCACCCTGCAATGCGAGAAGGAGAAAGAGGGACTTGATCTTCCTCTTCAAAATACTCATCGTAAATATCTGCGAGTTGGGTTGAACCCTTGGCCACCGGTTTCACTGGACTCTGTTCAGACTCGGTCTCGGATTGTGGGGATGGCCGCCCGCGTACATCAGGGGCTTGCTGACGAGCACCAGGGATGACCAGTGCCGTCACTGCACGTGTCATCGGCGGAGGTACGTTTCTGAGAGGAGGTGGAGTGAAAGTCTCACTGTCCCCGTTCGTTGGCGGCCTCGGGCCGTCGCTCCGGGGACGAATAAAGAGACCTCTGGTTGCAGCCTGATCTCCCAGTGAAACCGGGGTTGGAGTGGTGTCACCACGCACCGCCACAGGCCTGCTCCATGGGACAGAAGACCGCGTCACGGCGGTTGGAGAGCGACTTGGACTAAGATCATTGGGTGACTTCGCTGCATTTGCCAAGTCCCCGGGCGCGGACACGGTCGTGTTTGATCGGGTTAATCCCGATGGAGGTGCGGGAGTGGACAAAGGCGCCCCGCTCGGCAGTTGGCCACGGTTCAGGCGAGTAGCACCTGTGAATGTGGTGAAGGTGTCGTTTTTGTCCGTTGCGGAAATGAGTTTTGCCTTTCCAAGATAATCCTTAGTTTGGGCATTTTTCAACTTCACCGCCGAAGGCCTATACAAGATCCCAACAGGCTACTATGCGTCAATTCCAGTGCAACTGTACAAGCTGAGATCGGCTTGGCTTACAATAGAGAAAACTGTGTAGTCTGCGCCTTTATCGCGAACTGCATCGTCTATCACGCTATGCTCAGGAATTGCTTTTTCAAGAGAGGCTCTTTGCAAATCGGACATTCCCTCAACTTGCTGACCAAGATAAATTTTGCATAGACCCCTAGTGATGACGGCAATGTAAGTAAGAGCAAGGGCACGCGGTGGGTTCAGCGGTGCACACGCACAGATTGAATACCACTTCGGCGGAGAACAACTTGAACTTGAGTCCTAGTTGCTCATAGTTACTATGAATCGAGTCAGTAATTTGAATTTGGACGTCCTTCCAAAACGTGGTACCCACATGGTCTGGTTCCCCCGCAAGTATTGGTGTGCCTCTTCAAAATCCTTGAGGGCATACTCAAACCGACCCAAGAGGAAGTTGCTGACACCGCACTGAAAGTAGCTATGCGAACTCATGGGTGAGTCTGTTGGAGCAGCAATGACGAGGCATGATAAACGTACGCAACGGCGAGATATGGGTCGAGTTCGGTCGCAGCATTGAAGGAATCAACCTGGGATAAGACGACGTGAGAGACCTAACATCGAGATGTTGATGAGGAATGTCACCAACAGCACGTTCGTGTTCCCCCAAAGTGGCGTAGATCAATCCAATATTGAAATGATATTTTGACGTGACAGGTATCGCCTTATCAAGTGGATCGTTCAGGTCCATGCGCAGGTGACACGTGTAACTCGTAGGCTAACCTGAAAGATACGCAATGCCTGTTCATAATCCTCTTCATCGTATGCTCTGACAGCATCGTCGTGGCTCTCTAACTCCTTCTATTGAACAGAAGAGGGGAAGCAGGGGTCAGTGCTAGTTTCGGAACATTGTTACAAAGAAGTCTACCTTAAGGGACATCTACCAAGTCACTTTGCCTCCAGTTCTTGGGTGAGAGATAAAAAAGTGATTCTGATGGGGGTATTTAGCTGGGAAGTGAGCGTTCCGGACGCGAACAAACTGAAAAGGCTAAAAGCTCAAAGCGGTATGTAATAGAAGTGTGATGTTCAAAGCACAAGCAAGGCACCGGAGAAATTGTTC